ATTTACTACATAAATAACTATGATTAAAGTATCATAACCCTGAACAAATATGTCACATCTTACCATCATCAGGCTTTTTAACAAAAGTGACTCCTTGCTCCTCAAACAATTTGCAGGCTGCATAGACATCAGGAACTGCAATTCCGATGTGTCCTGTCAAGAGTAACGGAGACGGTGCTCAGACAGACACACAAGTATCCACAAAAAGCAGCAGACACAACACAGACATACATTATCAACTCAACACAACAAGAAAGCAGTTTTACCAAAGCCACGTGGATCCGAGTTTCCATTGTGATAAGTCTGACTGTCATCGGACTCAGAACCCCAGTTACTGGAAGAACAGATTCAAGTAAATATTCCAACTTGAGCTTGGTTTGCTTTTTGATTGCTTACAACACTAACTTTAGGTTTTTGACTACATTTTAACAACAGAGGATCATTTTCACTGGATGAGGGAGATAACAGTTGAAGAAGATGCACACAATGCAATAAAATGAATTTGTTCCTGGTAGTATCTAACATCCACCCTTACTGTGTCAGCTCGAGGGTGGCTCTTCTTGAGAAAGTCCAGGCCGTTTTTTCCTTCACATCTGCAGGGATCTCCTTCTTGTCCTCATAGCCCAAGAAGAAGAGAGAGAAACGCATCGAGGGAAAGTCAAACTTTTGCAGGAGCCTGCAAAATATCAATCGCAGAGAAAACATTTTACATAGTCAGGAAACGTCCACACAAACTTTGAAAACACATTTAACGATTTTATGTCTCTCTTTGAAGTGACAAATAAAAAGATGTAAACAAATATAACTGAGTAAACCGAAGCCCGCACGGATACTCACGTCATTCCGAGGATTCTGGTGTAGAAATCTATGGATTTATTTGGATCTTTAACCCTCAGCATCGTCTGCTGCATCATGAAATCCTAACACAAAAACATAATAATAGATTAAGGACAAGTCTTCGAGGTAAGTAACAGTATAACTGAATTACAAATATGACAGGGATGAAAATTAATGTTTCCTTAAACTGCAGAGGAATTCAGATTCATTCAACAAAAAAACAAACACAAATTGTCACGTTACATTTAGTTGCTCAAGAGTGGCGGGACTTCAGTGAGCAGAGTACAAGACAATCATTTTATATTTCTTTATGATGTTAAGCACTGTACATTTCATTCTTGTGTGAGACAGTCAGCCTCACCTCTGGCTCCGTTTAGCAACGTGACTGAGAAAAATTTGTATCCTGGCACTAAGCGGCGAAAAAGACCTTCAGTCGAACTGTACCTCTGTGTTACCGAGCGCACAAACACAGGCGGTCAGCATCATAGGGCTGAACATGCCAGATTTGCCTGTGTTCAGTTAGATTTAGACAGTGACAGTTAGATTTAGACAGTGACAGTAGTCGATCGTGGCTCAAGAGTCGGGTGTTTGTCTTGTAATCGGAAGGTTGCCGGTTCGAGCCCCGGCTCGGACAGTCTCGGTCGTTGTGTCCTTGGGCAAGACACTTCACCTACTGGTGATGGCCAGGCGGGCCGATGGTGCGATATGGCAGCCTCGTCTATCAGTCAAACAAACTGCCACTATGTGTTACACATTTTCAGTTCCAAATGGGACATCAGGCTGCAGGTGTTTAACATATGGATATGCAGTGGTTCAAACAATCGTGTGCCACCTGATTAGTGAAATTATCAGAGTTAATATAAGAAAAGAAAAATGTGGTAAAGTGGGCGTCTGGTTTTTATCCTCCGTATTTCTGTGTTTGAAGTGTATGAAAACCAAACTTTGCTCTTTGACTGCATTTCACAGTTAAGTCCTATCTCTGTGCGTTGTCCTTCCTGTGCCCTTCCTCCTTCTGTGTTAATGTTTCATATCTATAGAAACTCTACAAACACCCCAGCTGCAATATATTTCCCCAGATAGCATCACAGCTGCATTCATATTTCCGACTAGTAGTTCATCACTCATACAGCACACATTAAACCAACAAAGCAAAAGTGGAAAGCCCCTGAAAAATGAAAGTGCCTTTTATTTCTCAGGTCAAACCTCATATTTTACACGTGGGAGCAAACCCTAAACTTCAATTTCAAAGCATGTGAGTGCCAGCCAGAGCAAAAAAGTCAGAAACAGCTAAAGAAAAATAGAGGGAACCACTTAGTTCCGCTACACAATTAGGTTTGTTTCTGTTTGTAGGTGTATTTACTGGCACTTGAAGCCATACAAACAGGAAGGTAAGTGGGCTGCAGCACGTTAACGTAGTGACTTCAAAAACAGACTGAGTGGAGCAAACAGCATCTATCCAGTGAATAACATGAACAGTAAGTTACTAAGAACTCAATAAATGAAATGCAGGGCAATGTGGGATGCATTGCTACTGCTGAAAGGCACATTTTTATAAATCTTAAAGCATCTTAAAGAATAAACATATGAATGATGACCCTCACAAAGGTCTGGGAATGAAACCTGTGAAGGATGAATAAGCTGTGTTCAACTGAATGCATTTTTTGCTACTTCTTATATGCATAGATTCAACATAAAGTTCATTTGACGGCCTTTGGACTCAATCAAGACTATTGTCATTATGTTAATAATAAGCCCTTAACTATCAAGAGCTTATCATTAACTATTTATATATTATTTCCTATGCTGTTCTGTCTGTTAACCATCTTTACGCTTCTCTAAGTCTGTAACTTTTCTCTGGTTTCCAGGTGCCGATTAAACTTGCATGGCACCATGCTGGCATTATTTCACTCTTGCCGAACAAAGATGCACTGTGGCTGAAGGCTGCTGAAATCTCTAGCCTGGCTGAAACCTTAATACAGGCAACTTAGTTTGCAGTTTCTCCTAACAGTTTTTCTTTAAGAGGTTTTCTCTTCATGAGAAAGCAAGCAGGGTTTTTTTCCCTCACTACAAATCAGAGCCTTTTACGTGTACTTACATTGTAAACTTCATTCACTGCTTTTTGTACAGCTATAGTAATAATATGTGGTTGACATAAAACCCCAAGCCACACCTCAAACCACTCCTCAATTCCACCTCACACCTACTCCTTATAAATGCACGCTGTTTGGGAACCACAGGCTCAACAGTGGAGCTCTTTTTAAGACTCAAATGTGTGTCATTTCTGTGATTTACAACCAAAATCAAAACGTGGAACTACGAAACATGAGTGGGACGCCTGGTGAGCCTACTTGTTGGACAGCTTCCATATCTTGCGACACATGCTGACCACGTTAGGTATTTCTATTCCTGCCGACCTTTCGCAACAGGATGCGGAGTATATTCTGGTCTCACCGCACCTAAATGGCAGCTTTTCTAAAAAGTACAGGCGGCTCTCCCATTACGCACAGACTTGTTTTACGCACGCCTTGGATGACGAGTTTTATGTTCATACGGCGGCAGCCACTGGAAGGTTCACCTAGAAAGGTGAACTCACATCCGCCTGTCATGAAACCACATGGGGTTTTGGTTTCTTTCTTTCTTTCTTTTTTTAGGTACATCATTAACTAAAGCAACTTAAACCGTGTGGAAGAGAAACGAATCCCCCCTAAACGAGAGCAAAACCACCGCGAATTTTGTGGAGGAATGTGTCCGATAATGGACGTAGCATTAAAAGCGGGTTAACCTGTTTGGGAGCTGCTATCCTGTTGGGTTTGAATTATTGCCAATATGTAAATTTAGATCACCTCCATGAGGGGCTACGATGGTCTTACCTTAGTGATCGGGTCTCCATCTTTACACACTGCTGCCACAGCCTCGTCTGACAAACCTTTATTGCTCATTTTTGCTACAAGAAGCTGGAGTGCAGTTCGGCAGAGACTGACTGGCAGGGAAAGGGACTAAGCAGAGGGAGTTCCAGAAAAATATACTTCCGGCACAAGATTTCAACATAAAAGGCACAGTAACCGAGAGGAAAATGCAGAGGATCGCTCGTTTCCTGCTCCACAGTCTTTTTCTTAAAGCTTTGCAGGATTCACAGCTCAAAATATACTTTACTCATCTTTAAACCGTGACTCGGTGCTTCTTAGTGGTTTTTCCGACTGGCTTCCACTGACAAAAAGAAGATGTGAATAGAAAGTGGGTGGGACCAGAAGTGTGTTTCTAAGATGGCCATATTAAAGATACTTGTAGATATTTGACTGACTGACTGAAACCCAGCACCAGGAGTGCTTCCAGGAATTTTTAAATGTGGTCCCGATTAAAAACAGAATATTTACCCATACCTAAAACCGTGAGTGGGATTTTCAGGCTGTTGTTTTTGTTCATAAAGATGTGTTTATGATTTTAAACTTTAGAGACATTTCACATCATCATCCACCACTTTAATGGTGTATATGCTAGAAACTAAGGAAAAGCCAAGTAATTTCTGCCAAAATTACACAAAGACAAGAGTGGCAACCATTTTCCCTTTCGTTTTGCTTCAGTGATTTATTCTCTCTGCTTTTTTGCAGGAAAAATATCTCTGCAAACTCAAAGGATCTCTTAATTATTAAATAACACAGAATGTGCAAGAAAAGCAAGCTCACACTATGAAGTACAATTACTCGAATAACTGTAAGTGAACATATAACACACTTTTATTCTGAAAACAGACAATTAGTGTAATCTTTTAATCTTGACTGAAGTTCCTCGTTACGTAACAGATAAGGTTTATCATGTGAATATTGTAATTACCTTACATACTTCCTTATGCTCAGTAAACAGCTCACGCACAATAATTTAAAACCCAATGTAAATATTATGCAAGTTTACTCAGTTCTGTTTGATTGTAGTTTATTGATGGCATGTTTGTTGAAGTACTTCTCCAGCACATTTAGATTGCAAGCTTTGATATGCATAAAACTGGCACCGATGTAATATTTCTGGGGTTTTTTTTAGTTACTATTATTTTCCCATGCAGCTTTCCAAAAATAGAAAAAGATCATCTTAGACTTGATTATCTCCCCCTATTTTACCCAGGCTTAAAAAAAAACAATAACAAAACATAACCACACACATACACTGGATAGTTTGCCATGGAAATTACTTTATTTTAGACAGGCAGCAGAGATCTTTCATGTGAGAGAAGAGACAGAAGGCGATATTGACAATACACATGGTTCATCACAGCTGCACCATTTGGCTCTGGTGGATAAGAGATTTTTTTAAGCCGTTAAATATAAAGCCACATACTGTAACCATACAGACAGAGCAGGGCTGACAAAACTGCAAAACCGCAAGAGTGCTTGCAGAGTTCCTGAGATAGTCTGGCTGTGAGGGAGATGGGGCTGTTGCCAGGCAAAGAGACATTGTAGTTCTCAGGATGTCCCCTCCCCATCAGTAACATTCTCCTTTGAGAGTTTTACAAAAAGGCCAAACATCCTTAATTCATCAATTTTCAAGTACAGAAAATCTTGCATTTTAGGTATGGAGTTTAAAACCACTTTCTTGAATATTTTTCAAAGTCCAGATAAAGTACAATTGCTGCTTTCACTCATCAGATGTTTGATGCTGACACACCTGCCTAACTCCTGGCCATTTCCATTCTTGTGTCCCCCTCTGGACAGCGAGTCTCTTTCTGACAGGCCCTTTAGAGGATAATCAACAATTTAGATATTAACGGCTATAAGAGTAAACATCTCTTGTCTCCGCTCCATTTCCAAAGTGTTGTAACAATGATGACATGTTGTTGTTGTTTTTTTTTAAAAACCCAAAACAAAACAAAGAGAGCATGTTCCCTTCCTGAATCCCAAAGTTTAGTCACCTCACTTAAGTTAAACACCAAGAAGGAAAAACAGTTACAGAGAAGGTGGGAAAGCCCTTTTCTACTAAGATGCTTATTCTCTTGCCCCAGAAGAGCAGGTGCTCAGTAACTACGTCCAAACAGAGTGTAGTACTGGGCCGGCTCCTTGCCGCTGACACACTTTTGTCCAGGTTGGAGGGTCTTCAGAGGAGTGAATGGGATACAGAGGCTCTTGGCTCCCATGGACGGAGCACCAGGCTCCAGGTCCTGGTCCCTAAAAAAAGATCAAGCAAATAGTCCTTCAGTGGTGGAAATTAAGCACTCTGAGCACAACAAGCAAACTGTGGGGGAAATCACAGGAAACATTATGTATACAATACCAATATGTCAGACTTACTTAGCAGTGATTTTCTTGATCCAGTCCTCGCATTCAATTCCTCCACAGAATGGGATCTGGACAATCTATCAAGCAAAGGAAAATATATGAGATCAATTATTTATTCTGATGAGGAAAGACGGTGAGATGTCTGAGCTGTTGTGCCTTGTTTGTGTTACTCACCTTGCCCTGGTCCAACTCTTTCTGGAACTGCTCCATTGTGTCTGCAGCCACCATGTGACTCTTCAGATCATCTGAAGCTCTGATAAATAGACATTAACCAAGTGTTTACAGACACCATGTAATCTCACAGAATCTGTGTACACTTATTTATATTTTAACTTTGACACTTGTATCAATTATTAAATCCTCTAACAAAAAGCCCTGTGGTAGAACTGTCCTCGACTGGGGATGTGTCCATTTGTAACAAAACCTCAGTGTAGTAAGTATAACATACTTTTTGAACAGGCTGTTCTGGATGTCCTCCAGCATGTTGAGCAGATTCTTCTCCACTTCAGCCTCTGGTATTGTCACCTTTGCTCCTGAGTCTCTCCTCACTGCGACACACTGCTTCTGCTGCATGTCTTTAGGGCCCACTTCCAGTCGGATAGGCACTCCCTGGATGAGAGACCCCAACATACAGAACAAGGAGTCAGAAACCAAACTGACATCTGTTTTTTTCCAATTAATATCCTCTGCATCAGGTTAAAACTATAATAAGGATTATGATCATGTTGTTAATGACCTTGAGTTCCCAGTGGTTGAACTTCCAGCCAGGTGAGTAATTGTCTCGGACGTCAGACTTCACCCTGATCCCAGCCTCCTGCAGCCTTTTCAGGTATTTGGTGCACTGAGCCAACAGCACCTCCTTCTCCTGTTCTGGCAAGGTTGCGGTGATCCCACAAGGAATGATGACAACCTGGGAAAGGAAAGAGAAATCTTAGGCTGGCTGTTGCAGCATCATTTACATCAATATAATAAAATTTAAAAAAGGACCTTAACATCTTCATCTGTTACAAAAATAAAATCCCATGTGTACATGTGACTGAGTGTTCACCTGGAGGCAAGCCACTCTGGGTGGCAGCACGAGTCCCATGTTATCTCCGTGGACCATGGTGAGAACACCGATGGTCCTGGTTGTGATTCCCCACGAGTTCTGGAAAGCCAGCTGCTTCTCGCCCGGCCTCTTGGGGTCCTCAAACACAATCTCAAACATCTTGGAGAAGTTCTGGCCCAGATGGTGGGACGTAGCACCCTGAGGAAAAGGGGACTCTTGATTCAATGCAATGTTTACTTGCTTACTTGAGTAAGAGGATTGAGAGAATAAAGCCAGTGTGTTACCTGAATGGCTCGGCCGCTGGCAGAGATGAATGCCTCCACGGTTGTTGTGTAATCTCCTCCTGCAAATTTCTCCTTCTCAGTCTTCCTCCCTTTTACCACAGGGATGGCCATTAGCTCCTCATACACCCTGGCATATAGATCCAGGATTTGCAGAACCTGCATACAGATGACGCATAAACAGCCTTCCAGAAAAACTGTACTCGAACATGTCTGCCTAGGTACGACTGTTTTACATTCTGTCATGTATATTACCTCCTCAGCTGCCTCCTCCTTTGTGGCAAATGCTGTGTGGCCCTCTTGCCACAGGAACTCTCTTGTCCTCAGGAAAGGCTGGGGATGTTTGAACTCCCATCTCTATACAACGGAGAAGAGATGCACACTAAACTGGGTGCTCTTCCATGAGCAATCTTGCAACCATTAACTAAAGAAAAGAAGGGAACACTGACCACAACGTTACACCACTGGTTGAGTTTGATTGGCAGGTCTCTGTGAGACTGGACCCACTTTGCATAGGCTGGATACATCACTGAGATGAATAAAGAGAGATAAATGGGGTTAGGAACAATGTTAAATGTTTTCAAATTTATATGCTGAATGTGAGTCTGCATAGCTTTATGTTAGCCAAAGAGCTGTGGTTCAGACCTGTTTCACTGGTGGGTCTGACAGCGATGGGCTCTGCAAGCTCAGTCTTTCCTGACCGAGTTACCCAAGCAACCTTAAAAAAGGGGAAACCAAAACTGTAATAACAGGATATTGCATATTTACAGTTCTATATTTTTACTACCAGTTGTATTTGTATGATTATCTCATACACGCTCTTTCTGTAAAGAGCACTCGTCTGTTTGGGCAGCTAGGACTGACTGTTTTGACCTGCTGAGAGAATTTTTACGACAGCCACCTTAAATGTTAGGACTTGAACCTTTCAATTAACCTCCTGACATCACTAGGATATAAATGATGGAAGACCATAAAAATAATGGCAGAGTCCCATTTATGGATCAAGACTGTGCTTGATCCATAAATGCATGCGCGAGCATATCATTATGATTTCTTGTAGTTGCCCATTTCTTTAATTTATGTTACCCAGTTTGCTTTTTGTAAACATCAGAAGATGTCCGTGCAAAGTCTCATTTACCTCTGGAGCAAAGTCTGCAATGTGGGACTTCTCCTTCTCCAAAGCTGCCTGAGAGACAAACATAGGGAAGTAGCAGTTCTCCACACCCAGTTTCTTAATTTCCTTGTCAAAGAAGTCTTTAATAGACTCCCAGATTGAGAAAGCCCAGGGTCGCAGCACATAGCAACCGCTGACGTCATAGTACTCAATCATCTCAGCTTTAGTGATGACCTGAGGAGGACAAGAGAGGAATATTAACAGAAGATTTTGACTGACATAGCAAATTGTGCTGTTGGAGTAAAGGGTGATACTCACCTGAGAGTACCAGTCAGCCAGGTTCTCCTCTTTTTTGGCTTCCAGACCCAACCTGACAGGAGATATACAAATGAGTAAGAGTTATAGAAACATTTCATAGGTCTTTTAAGCACAATTTATTGTTAATCATGTGTTTCTTCGACAGAATTTCATTTATTTTCTTCACAAATTTGAGAAAGCGGTGATGAAGCACTGACAGAGAAACACGAACACAACAATCAGCTAATTCTTGGTTAGTGATCACTGCTCCTGAGTGCACAAACACAAGAGTAATGACTGCAATTTCAAGTCAAGTCCATCATGCTGCTTAAAGCAAACTGTATTTCTAAAGCTAACTGACAAAACAGAGCTGGAGCATGAGGGCAAAATGATAATCCTTTTTTTTTGGCACAATGACACTTTTACTGCCTGAGGAACAAAATCTACTTTCTATATATCCATATAGACGTATATAAACCCTTTTCTCTCCCAGCAGGTCTCCAACTGACAGCTTCAAGTGTGCAAAAACAAAAGTGCCAAAAACAAGACTACGAGTCTAAAACCATGTTAGTATGAGGCTTTGTACTCACAGTCTAGAACTTTAGCATGCCAACATGGTAAGCATTAATTCAGTGGGTTAGCATTTAGTAATCCTAAACACAAAACACTGCTCAGGCTGAGGGGAGTGTCAGAGCGACTGTCAGGAAACAATTGCTAGAAAATGCAACTTCTTTAAAAATGTAGCTTTTATTGAACCATATGGCAATTTAAAAAAAAGATAATATTTTACATACAGGACAATTTTAAACATTTTTATTTGTATCATGTTTGCCATTTATTACATTTTTAAGTAATATGTATTGTAAATATGTATTGTTTGGGTGCATCAAAAATGATGCACCAGGCGTTAAGGAGTTAACTCTCCCCCTAGCCCAGGGGTCGGCCGCATGCGGCTCTTTTGTCCTTATACTGCGGCTCCGGGTGGTTTGGGAAAATAAATTAGAAGTATTTAGCTGAAGTGTATTTTATTTGTGTTTAGTTCTTTTTTTAACTTGTAGTTCTAAATTGGAAGATTAGTGTGATTTTGAAATGTAAAAATAAAATTATATCTTATTATTTTTTCATCGCTCAAAATAAGCGTCACACTCGCGGAAGCAGATATACTCGCCAAAACGCTGTGCATTTATCAAGACTTTCAACACCAAGTAGGCCAGTTATGGATCTTCGGATCCGCATTATGTTGTTCTCCACCGTGAACTACGTTAAAAACAAACACCGCTCGCGCCTCACAGATGACAGCAGACGCTGTGCGCAGAGGTTCGGGACCAGAAGTCTTATTGTAAACATATCACGCAGACCAGACGATGTTTGCATGAAAACGCTTTTCAGCATCTCTTTATTGACCACTTTTCACACACGGTTGCTGTACGCATACAGCCGGCTGTAGCTTTTCAGCTCACAGCCCGACAACACAACAGCAGAGAGAGCACAGACTTTAAGGCAGTGAGGCGCGATTGCGGGTGCCGCTCAGGTGCGTCCGCCTCCCCTGCAGCGGCGCTGCAGACCACGCCCCGCCACACACATTAACCAGGTAAAATACATATTTAGGCAGAATTTTGCAAATATCTATTTTTTTTTTAGCAGCATAGTGCTTTTTTCCAAATTACTTTTTAAAAGTCAGGTCAAGGCTCCAAAAGCCCAAAGGCGATATAAGGGTGGCGGCTCACAACAGTTTGTTTCCTACATGGATCATTTTAGTTCAGCTGGGTGTCTTTCCTTTTGTTATCTTTCTTTAAGAGTTCAAAATGTGTTAATTACATAAATAAATGTAATTTTCTCTGTAGCACTTCATGAATTTCATAAGCAACACACCTTAGTTGCTCTGTGGATTATTTTAAAAAGCAGTTAAAAACTTTTCTGTTCATACAAGCCTTTTGTTGATCTACGTATTTTATATTCTTTACATTATGTACATTTGATCTTTTACATTGTGTATAATGTCTATTGATTGTATTGTTTATTTTAATATTTGTGTACAGCGCTTTGTGACTGCCTGTCTGTGAAAAGCGCTTAATAAATAAACTTTACTTACTTTAGTTGTTCACACAAAGCATAAAGGAAAAAAAACCCAATATATACAGCGTTATCTTCACTTTAGATTTCAAAAAGTATTTGCGGCTCCCAGTGTTTTCTTTTGCATGGAAACCGGGTCCAAGTGGCTCTTTGGGTGTAAAAGGTTGCAGACCCCTGCCCTAGCCCCTTATTTACCACTCCCTATATTTAGATATGTACCATTTGTTTTATTGGATAACTTTTAGGCACATTAAATGTAGTGTATTATACAGTAAACAAGGCGCAAATTCAGACAGAACCTATAATTATTATATTATTACAGCAAATTCCATCACTATACATCCGGTAGTTGTCAAGATGATTCACTAAAAGCCAAAAATATCAACCTCTTGATGCTGTGGTGATCATAGAAAACAGATATTTCAATCTGGACCAACCATGGCAACAGTGCCCTCTCTTGACAAACGGCTAAATCATGAATATTAAAAAAATTAGTAATGTAGCACCATCTTAAAGCCAGTAATTTTAGCACACAACAGGCACTGAATATGCAGGAAAAAGCAACCACGTCAGACTCACCGAATCTGATTTCAAAAACCCTCCTCAGTCGGTAAGAAACAGCAGCATAGGCTTGTGCTTCAACCATCTTCGGTTTCCAAATCAACACACCCAAATACCTGTGTGTGAGTGTGTGTGTGTGTGTGTGTGTGTGTGTGTGTGTGCGTGTGTTTATTGTTCTAAGACAAGACACCTGACAGGAAGCTGGTGGTGTTCATACCAACAACAGTCCTGCTTAAAATGTACTACTCATTGGAGTACAACCTCCATCACCTGCTGGGGGTTTCATGTTAAACATTCAAATATATGTTTACCAAACCGTGCATATTCTAATGAGCTCAAATCAGATGTATGAGAATGTGACCAGGTGTAAATGCTTTAATTTAACTCTCCATTTATTGTCAATTTTCAGCAAATTCAAGGACAACCAACTACAGACAGCTGTGCTATTTCTTTTACAATAATCTGCTTTCTTCCCCAATAAATGTTTCCCCCACTCATCACAGTCAGATGTACCCAAAGAACACATTTTAATGTGTTGAAAACCCAAAGACAAACAATAACTTGTATGCAATGCAAACAGTAAAATACTACTATGTTCCTCAATATTCAATGTTCATGGTATTGCATGTAAAAAGGATTATCATTTTAGCTGAAATCATATCAGAGTTGTTGTTATGGAGACCCATTTTAAACCAAAAACTGTGTTAGCTGAAAATTGAAATCTAAATTTAAGCCCGAGCTAGTTCATCTGCATTTGGAAATATGTGAAGAGAGATGGGTGAAGGAGTACTTCCAGTCTCTCACCGTGTCTGTTTCTTGGGTCCTTGACCCTCTCCTGCACCTCCTGCTCCTCCGGAGGACTCCTTGCTCTGGCCTCCTTTGTCTCCTTTACCCTTCTTCCCTCCTCCTCCTCCACCCTGTTTCTCAGACTTGTTCTCCTTCTCCTTGCGGTTTTTGTCCTCTCCTCCTGTACCACCAGCAGCAGCCACTGGTTTGTAGTCTTGTCCAGTGAGAGTCTTGTACTTGCTCTTCAGGTCCAGTAGAGTCTTCACAGCTTCGTCCACCTGGTCCTAAAAAGGAGATATGATTGTTTATGTTTATGTCTGTGCAATTTTAGTTGTATTTAATACCACTCTGTAAGTTCTTACCTTGGGGGCCTTCTCAGACTTTAGCTTCCTCACCAGGTCTCCCTGCTGGGACACCTGTGAGAACAGCTCCTGGGCCTGAAGAGAGGAGTTAGACTGAGTGGAGGCTGAGCTGGCCTGGGTTTGGGTCTGGGCTGGGGTAGCTGGGGCTTGTAATCCCGGTTTGTAATCTTTTCCAGTATTCTGTTTGTACTCTGCCTTCAGAGCCAGCAACTGCTTCACTGCAGCATCTACTTGATCCTGAAAAAGAACCAATGGAAGGAGAAACATCAAGTCAAAGTCAACACCTCAAGGACTACTGAAAGCTACAGAGCCTCAAAAATTTAGGCAAATGGTAAAATCTCACCTTAGGAGCTTTTTCAGCCTTCAGTTTTCTGACCAGTTCTCCTTGTTCAGTGACCTTCTCATAGAGGTCATTGGTGGAGCCATTCTGGACTGGAGCGGGTGCTTTCTGAGGTGGGGCCGCTCCAGGCTTATACTCCTGGCCTGTGATACGTTTGTACTCTTCCTTCAAAGCAAGCAGCTGTTTCACTGCTGCATCAAGCTGGTCCTGAAGAAGATGAAACAAGGAAACTGTAACCCAATTTATTACGATGTTTAGGATTTTTGTGGGTAAAAATATTCCCATTCCAGTGCATGGTGAATATTGTTTTCCCACAATTTACATGCTGGCGACAGCAATCAGCTTTTTTTTTTTCTATCAGGTGTCAGATCATTGTATTACCTAAGATTGGTCACGCATTTTTGATGTTAATTCAGACATTTAGCAGTTTTTGCTTATAGCCTTGTGTTCAGCTATCACTCTGATCAGAACAATCCCTCTGGATTACCCTCTCGCAGACAGCAGTTAGAGGAAATAGATAATTTGGTAATAGTAATAAAGCAAATACACACATTTTTAATATAAGCACTGTTATAATTGTGTGAAACAAGTATGTTAAGCACATGCCGATACGGAACATTTACTGCAAAATTAATTTAAAACCCTAAAACAAAGTTAAAGTAGTGCAGAAAATGTGTGCAAATAAAGCACTGAGTGGTGACACATAATTCATGCCAAAATAAGAGATAATCAAACGTACAATTATCTGTACCAGCCCTGTTACCAGGAACTACGTAATGTTTCCAAGAATAAATCTAACTGGTTCGGCACTGAAGCCATGATAGGATGGATTGTTTATTTTAACACTTGTGTGTGTGTGTCTGAGTAACATTAATAAGTATTAGTGGTTTCAGACTAAGTAACTCCAAATTTCTGACATCCGATTTCCGAGGTGACCGGAATGTGGCATATGAATAAGGCAGGAATTTTTCTACTGTCTGTATTCATCATGCATTTGAATACCTTGGGGGCTTTTTCCGACTTCAGTTTCCTCACTACTTCTCCTTGCTGTGCAACATGTTCATACAGGCCCGAAGAAGAAGGTGGCGAGGAAGAAGAGGTGGCAGTCACGGGAGATGAAGCAGAGGGGGCGGGTGTGGCCATCCCTGGTTTATAATCCTGACCGGTGATCTTTTTAAACTCTGCCTTGAGAGCGAGGAGCTGCTTTACTGCAGTGTCAATCTGGTCCTGGTACCATTAAAAGTGATCTTATAGTAATGGGTATTTCAGAATAAGCTTGACTGTCATGCAAATGGCACGAGGAGGTGGAACGGTCACTGGACAAATGTTGTGGGACATCACAAGGGAAGGACCAGACAAGTGATTTTTGATGCACGAATTCAGCGGATATGAGATGGGACACAAAAAACGAGCGGACAAACAACGTGGGGCATAAAACGAAGATCTGACAAACAGATGAGGATGTGACTATGGATTGGAAAATGCCCTTTACCTTTGGTGCTTGCTCTGCTTTCAATTTCCTGACCAGCTCACCCTGCTGGACAACACGACTGTATGGGCAGGACGTGGAGTCTGAGGAAGAGGTAGATGGGGCTGGCGTTGAGGCTGGAGGAGCCATGCCTGGCTTGTATTCCACACCGGTTTGCTGCTTAAACTGCTCCTGCAGATAAAGAACAGATGAGACTGTCAGTATTTTTTTTTTCAAGCAAAGCCCTTTTTGAACATCAACTCCTGACAATTTCAAGAGAATCTGGATTTAATATTTGCCAGAAGGATCAGAAGGATCACTTCAGCACATGTCTTTGTCTTTATAATACTTTTATTTAAAGCCAGCATACCTTTAGAGAAAGCAGCTGCTTAACAGCCTTGTCCACTTCATCCTTGGGAGCTTTGGCAGCTTTGAGCAGGCGGACAGCTTCGCCCTGTGCTACAATGCTTGAGAACAGGTCAGCTGCTGGGGCTGGCACAGAGGTTTTAGGAGCCTTGGCAGGGCTGGCAGGCTTATACAACAGAGATGAAGATGAAGAAACTGTCAGTTACCAGTTTATCCAAGATGTCTCACATTTTTATCCCATTTTATTCCAAGCTTGCATGCTAAGCTGATGCCCTGAAGGCCCTAGATGCCAGGGAATTTTATTTATTTACTTTTATTTTTAGAAAGACGCTACAAACATAAATATTGTTAGCCTACTGTTGCTAACAATAAAAAAAAGAACACGTGATAAAACTCTGAAGAAGTAAAGAACCAGAAAAGTGTTATTATGACTTAATAGTTTTAGCAGATAACCATCCATTTATCTTTTATCCATAATAATTAAGACGGGTATGGGTAGGTTTGACTTTCCTTTGGTGTATATACACACTAGGACATAAACACACACACACACAATACATTCTCTTCAAAAGTAGGAATGAATAAAATCCACATAAAATTCCCAGAATAAAATCCTTCACACCCTGTGTGACCAACAAGTATAATAGAAGGAGCTTTTCACTAATATTCAACTTTTAAGCTAGAAGCTGTCAGTTTTCAGGCAATAACAAATAATAATATAAAAGGCCGACTGGTAGCTTTCAAACTGGGCCTGAACCTTGTTTAGTTTTCACCTATTATTAGTCTAGCATTTGCTTTACTGGTTAAACCAGTTAGGATTCACAGGGTAGGTTCCTGCTACTGCCACTAATTGTACTGTGCTTTTTGTTTCCGTCTTAGTACATCCAACGCAAACATCAGAGCAAACTTTAAGTAATTCAGATGACTTTATGTCTTTCATACAGGACCATTAGGCGTATAATTGCAAACCCCTTACTGAATACTCACTGTGTTGTCAGAAGCCTGAGTCTTGCTCTTTTCCTTGGATCCAGCTGTTGGCATCTCCTTAGTGTGGCCATCTGGAATGTAGATGAGCACACAAGGACTCTCCTTACAGCTGTTGGGACTGCAGACACAACCCCAGTTAATAAAACAGTAATACAAAAAAATGGATACATGCCCAAAAGGTGTTTTGGTACTGAGCAGATTCGGGTTTTCACTTCTTTACCTGAGTGGCTCATAAGGCTGGTCACAGATGTAGAAGCCCCGCCTCTGGAGCTGGATGATGTCACCTTTCTTCAGGTTCTTCAAACAGGGGTCACCAAGCATCTTTTCTTCCAACTGAGATCAAAAACAGATAATAAAATAACCACATCCATGCAGTATAATGCACACACAGAGCAAATAACTGACCTTGCTATGTTTATTAATGTAGTCCTTGAAGTTGTCGTCTTTGGTGATGACAGCTTTGGAGATGAGTGGTTGATAGTTGACGCAGATGGCTGGCACTGGGAGGGAATTGTTTGTTTCAGCCAGCCAAGTGATCTTTGTTGTCTTCTTGTAGTCTTTGTTGTCCAGATTCAAGCTTGCCTTCATGGACAAAACCTTTCCATCAGCCCCTCTAAGTGATAAGAAAGGGCGACAGCATGAACAGATCAGAGGGAATTCTGATTCTTAAAAGAAATACAGATCATCTAAACGATGGTCATACTTGTTGATCTTGGTGATGATGAGGTTGCCCCAGTTGATAAAAGTAACCGTCTCTCCCTCTGTGAAAGTCTCAGCATCGGCTCCTTCAATCAGAACTCTAGGACCATACCAAACCTCCTTCATCCCAACCTCGGCATTCTAGATAGGCACAGAAATGGCATCAGCTCAGTAGCACTGCAGCAAAGCTACATTGGTGAGTATGCATCAGTGAACTGACTCATGCTATAGTCAAGTGACATAAACTGCAGTTCCTGGAGTGGCTGGTTTTCAAGTAAGGGAGAGTCAGTCCTTATAGCAAAAGATGCTGAATGCTATTAACTGAGATGTTTCAGCTAAAAACCAAGGTGCTCTTCCCAAAAGAGAGTAACACAAGACATGTTAGAGCTAAAAAGATTTTTAGGAATAAAATCAGTTACAATGAGATTTAAATGACAGCTGTTTTGATGGGACAAACTGGACAAAAATATGTAAGTAATCAAAATTGGCGGCAAGCTGTTAAAAACAGAACAAAAAAAACCCCTCAAACCTTGGGATGTTTGGCAATTTCCTTCATCTCCTCTGTAGCCTCTGGGACAGACACTGGCACCACATAGGAGCTGGATAGAGCTGTGTACCTGGGAGCTACCGGGTCTATAACCTAAAACACCAACAGAGAGAGACACATATACACACGCAGAGGTCAGTAAAAGAAAAATCTGCACTTCACATACAAAAAGCTGAGTAATGCAAGAAAAAAGCAAAATATGATGCAACTTTGATGGCTTCTCCAAAAAGAAACAAAAATCTGGACAGAGACGCTTCAGCTCAGTAAGCAATAAATAAAACTAAGCCAGAGGAGGAAAAAAAAGATGATTTCAAGAGTGAATAATGACTGTATGCAAGTTGGGAAACAAGCTTTTATTCAGCTGCTTACTCAGTCGCTATCCGCTTCCACTATTTTACCAGCCAGCCTGGATGTAAATGACAACTGAAGGATTTGAAAAAACGTTTTCATAACTGATTATAACGTATCGTACACACACTTTTCATGTTGTTCCACAAAGTTATTTATTGAAGATCTAGTCATAAAAGTCACCATTTCTCACAGATACTACTGCTAAAAAGTTTCAAGTCATTTTGTCTATTTAAAAAAATCATTTTTAATATAACAAAAACATTCAGAAAAGTTGCAACCATCACTGATGTGCTTCAGTGGCACACGGGTTTCTCTGATGCAAGTTTACTATGTTAAAGATCAACAACTTTGGTTGATTAGAATATCAGCCCTTGTGGTCTTGAATGTAATCTTAAAATGGGGAGAAAAAAGCAAAAAAAACAAAAAACAAAACATGGTTTTGAAAGTTGTCAGGGTAACAATTCACATATTATTTTCATAAAAATCAAGATCTCATACACACTCTGTATGAAGCCCTTTACAAATTGTCTTACCAATATGTACCATTTTATGAATCTGCCACTGGAAGACCTGTGACCTGTTCACAAATTAAAGACTTGGGTGTTCTCACTCAGTAATGCATGATTAACTATATGAAAGGGCAACTTCTTCATCACAAAAAATACATAAATAAAACTGAAGTGGCGTAAAGGATGAAAAAGAGACAACAGATTCATAGGAAGATAAAGACAAACTGCCTTTTTGGTTATAAACATGCTGTTCAGGGCAGTTAATATGGAATATATTGAAGCATTTCCTGTATCTTCAGTGAATATGCTTTAGATTTGACATTTGTTCAATCTGTGTAAACATGTATAGAATAAAAACAACCATATTTACTTTACTCAGAGTGTTTGGGAAGGGAAGCCAACAGTCACGTGACCCTAAATAACCACTATTTTAAAAACCTTATTTTGTATTGACTTAAAATTGTCTGTTGCATTGTGCCAACCTATTGTTTGGAATCCTATTGTTTGGGCTGGTAAAATAGCGCAAGCCATTGGCGGGCTTTCAGATTAACCAGCACATGATGGAAGCAGGGAGAGTGACAATGAGGAAGAGCAGGAGGAGCAGGAGGTGGAGGAGTACCTTCAGACAGCTAACGGGCAGCTTGGAAACAGAAGAGTGAGATGCTGTTTAATGTCAGATACGATAGAGGAAGAGAGAGAGGAAGAGACAGACACATTTACACAGAATGATCCATTCACAGAACTTATCCTTGCTGCTTTGTTACACTCTCCTGATTTGGTTTGTGTCTTATGTCAACGTCCAACGTCCTGACCACAAATGCATGTATGAATAAAATAGTGAATTATAATTTTTTCAAATGGACGACAGGGAAATCAAAACAGGGGAAGCAGAAGAGGAAGTGAAAGCTGAGTGATGAGAGTAATAAGCAACTAAAGAATAAACTAATATGGAGCCTACTTTATTTCACTAAGCTTGGTGTAATTATCCATTACATTCAATAAAAGAAGACTTATTCTGCCTTGTTTTATCTACCAGTGGTGCATGACCCATTAAGCATGTGTCTCTATGATGTCAGTAATTGTGGATATTGCTAATATGGTCATCAGTTTGCTGTCAGCATAAAAGCTCCTCCCACATGCTGTTAAGCTCTGGCTGCCCCTTATTAACAGAAATCAGAATAAAGCTTATTTAATGGAGGGTCAAGAGCTACCGTGGGTGAATTGATTAGCTACATAATGGTCGAGTTTAAGATGAATAAGCATTATATTGGATTATTAACCCTTTAAAACCACTGCAGTACAGTCCAAAGATACAATACACACCTAGAAATCAGCTTTGAAGTCATGTTTTGATTTTACACAATGTGGAAAAATGGCTACTATTTAAAAACGCCTAAAAATGGCAGGTATATTACTTCAACAACAGGAAAATATTTTAGCCTTGTCAAACAGACCAACAGTGTAAAGTTCCTAAAAACTGACCTAACCTGTTCTGGCACATAAGACTAAAGCACACAGTGGAATCACATTCACTGAGATTCATGTGGTCCAAAACAAAAATGAAAGTGATCATTAACAAATATGTAACAGGTAACAATTATTATTATTACTATTATCATTATCATTACAACTCATCACCAGAGACAGAAAATGTGAGATTTATTGTGTTGGCCATTAATGCCCTATTTCTAACTTGATTTTGGTTGAGCTTAAAACATAAGTAAATAAGTAAAGCTAAATCAAATGCTTTCAAACCCAAATGCCTGCAAAGACACTAGGATGGAATGGTAGGAACAGTACGAGGCACTGGTGAGTAAACTGTCTGTTAAAAAGCTCCATATTTGAAGATTTATATAATAAAAGGAAAATAAAAGGTGAATTAAAAGCAGACGGCTGCTCACAGTTACAAAGTCTTGATTAGCAGAATAGAATTAGACAAAATTCATCTCTTAAATACCTGTTAAAAAAAACAAAACAAAAAAAAAACAAAACAGCCACCTTAAAACATCCCCTTGCTAGCATGAAGAAAGTTTATGAGAATAATGTAACTATCTGACAACTGCAAGGAGCAGCTGGTTAGTTGAACATGCACATGAGACCTTTGCAAAAACAGAGACAGCTGTCTTTAAATCGACCTCACTGCCACATGATCACTGCCAATTGGTAGCTGTTGAATTTAACCACTCTTGGATATAAATCCTTGTATAGGTCATACGTTTAAAACAGACTTTGTTTTTGTTTATTTTTTGAGGGAAAAAAAAAAACTGCTTTCACTTTCTTTACATTTAAACTGATGGTTCACACCTTCTTCCTGACTCTGGGATGAAGCAGCAAGTGCCAGCAAGGAAGACCACACAGAGGAAGCAACACTGACGTCCAGACAGTTGAAAATGAGGACATCAAATCATGAATACCAACATACGTGGGACGTGAAATGAAGCACCTAGTTTGGTTTTTCAGGTTTTCTGTGTTATTGGGGTTAATAAGCAGGCTGAGATTGGGGGTAATGAGGCAGAAGAGGAGGTGGCAAATGAAAGCATTTAAGAGAATGAAAAGAGCAAAGCCATGCCAGCAGTGAATTTGCAGAGCCTGTTTTTTTACTACAGATTCATTACATATACTTGAACGCTGGTAGATTTACACTTATACCTCTATGCTCACACGTGACATCTCTAACATATAAGTCAGGTTTTGACTGAAGAAAAATCCAAAACTAATTCACAAAGCAGGAAATAAAGTTATTTTGTGTGCAATTTAATATATCAAACTTATGTTCACTGTGCTCATATAAGCCCAATAAATACATTTATTTGTGTTGCTGCAGCAAAGCTAAACAGGCTTTAACAACAACTGATTAAAATTCATGATCAGAAACATTTTAAATGTTCTACTGACAAAAATTTAGACACAGATGAAATATAGCAAAATTTTAAATGTACCTTCTTATTGAAGGCCCAGATCTTGTCCCACTCCATGTTAACCACAGACCTTGATCCACCCTAGGGAAAAAAACAGGGATTAATAAATAGAAAAAAAAAAAGCACATTTTTATTTAAGAATGTACTCATTTGCATCAACATTGTGGTTTTCACTTAGCACAGATTATTGCATCTTCTTTAAAATGCACCTGGGCTGCTATGAACTGCTTCAGACCCTCCACAGTCATTCCTCTTCTCAGCACTCCTCTGACAGTGGGGAACCGAGGATCATCCCTGAAGGACAAGACCCCCAAAAAAGTCAAAAGAGCACTTAAAGGGAGAGAGAGATAAAAAAGAAAAACAAACTAAGCCAAACTCACCATCCATCAACATATCCCTGATCAACAAACCAGGTGAGCTTCCTCTTGGAGAGCACCGTGTTGTTGAGGTTGAGTCTGGCGTACTCCCAGACGTAGGGCTTCCTGAGGCCCAGAGCATTGATTATCCAGTAGAACTGCTCATCACGATCATGATACTCAGTGGTCCTAAGAGCATGGGTAACGCCCTCTAGGCTGTCCACAATGGGGCAGGCAAAGTCATATGTTGGGTAGATGCTGAAAGCAAAGAAGATGAGATGTATTATCAAACTTAATTATCTGAATGTGCTCAATTTTTACCACACACACACGCCGTGATTTGTTCCAAGGTACACAAAAACACAGCAAATTCAGAGTGACTTCTGTTATGCTCAACAATAAAGCCTTCACTGACCGACTGCTGCTGTAATGACCAACCCGTTAACTCAACTTGAGTGGTCCAGTCAACTTTAGAAAACATTTTAACCTTTTCACGCATAGCGGTCACTACAGTTGACAGCTATTCAAAGGCTTTTTCCTTGTATTTGTGTCAGTGTTGATGGTATACTTGCACATAAACCACTGCATTGGACACTGATGTGTCACTCCATACACATCAGTTATCCACCTAAGTGGATATGTAAAAAAAACTCTTTGAAAAGTACATGTTTAAAAAATGAAGTTCAAAAATCTTTGTTTCATGCCTAAAGATGAATAAAAATACTTAAGAAAAAAATCCTGATTGAGGTTGTCAGAATTCATGCATGAAAAGGGTTAAACCCCTGCATGGATTACGTTTATCGCCAAGTTCTATATGATTGCTTGTTTTTTGTCAGTGCACATTGCTGGTTACTTTAGCATGCATCTAAAAAACAAACAAAAAAACAAACAAACATGTGTCTCCATTTTTACCAGGTGGATAGTTAACATCTAGACAGACCTCATGAGATAAGTGATAAATGTGAAGAGCCACTACAAAGGCTGTGAATAAAGTTCAGAAATTTCCACGTATTTAAATAAAAAAAAAACAAAAAAAACAAACAAAAAAAACAAAAAACAACAACCTTGGTTTCATGCTGTTCTCTTTTGTTAATGCAAAATGAAAAAAAAGAACAAAAATGATCAATTTGACCAACTAAAATAAACCTACAACACAATATGCAAGTATGCAACACACATTTTCTTTAATACAAATTGAAAAAGTGCAAATTATAGTCAACATTTTGGATGCCACAGAAACTAGAGATTAATTCCTCATCAATTTTAGGATTTTGATTACTGGAATAAATAAAAATTGTTATTAATACCAGAGCAGTTTTTGAATAACATGACTTCCTCTGTTCGTGTTAATGCTAATTTCTGCTTTCTACGCTTTTCTTTTTATTCTGTGTATATAAATGCTACAATTCAGACTAATAATAGAATAAAGCCACATACTTGTAGGTGTTTCCTGTGCGAGGGTGGGCTGCGTTCTTGCAGCGGTAGAGGGTGGGGTCTCTCATGCAGCCATTGTTGGAGTTCATGTCAATCTTTGCCCTCATGCAGCATGTCTGACCGTACTCTGTTCCCGCTTTCATCTCCGACCACATCTTCATGTTCTGCTCCACGGCTGCAAGAGAGAGACACAGAGAGGAGTTGTATAAAAAAAAAATCACATGTTGCTAGGCTTCAGCATTCACTGACAGGTCATCATCATCGTCCCGTCCTAAGCCGTACAATTGTTTCTGCAGGTGGACTCAACACGCTGCTCCCTCTCCTGCTTCATCTGCTCAGGTGGGGTGTTGTCGATGTAAGCTTTGCCCTCAGCAAGCAGCTTCTCTGCAAACTTCATTATAGTGGGAAAGTGGTCACTGGTGTAAGTGAACTGGTCTGGACGGATCTGGAGCATGGCAACATCTTCCAGGATCACCTAAAGAGCAGCACAGCAAAGAAATGTGAACACAAAACTTACACTTCGTGGTTTTTTTTGTTATTATATTTATTTATCCAAGTAACAACAAAATAAATAAATAAATAATATCTTACCTTCTCAAAGTCCTCCTTCTCCTTCTCAGGGTTGGTGTCATCGAAGCGCATGATGAGCTTGCCTTTAAATGTGACCTGGTAGTGCTGGTTGAGCAGGGCAGCCTTGGCATGTCCGATGTGCAGGTATCTGTCCAAGGGAGGCAGAGAAAAAGTTAGGGAAGCTAGTAAATTAACAAACGTTTCTTCTAAACTCCAGATTCAAGTCGTACCCGCTGGCCTCAGGAGGGAACCGAACCACCACCTTGCCCATCTCAGCTCCTGGCAATTCCACAAACTTCCCGACATCCGCCTTTTTCCCTTCCAACTGTGAAAATGACACAATCAGTCAAGAATGGAATTAAAAAGTGCATTTATATCTTACATGGGTCACAAACATAATAATCAAGCGTTAAACATTCAAACATCAAAGTTTAATGTACCAGTTTAGTTTAAAGAGATAAAAACAACATGTTTGGTGGCTTTATAAACATTAACATCTATTCTTTTTTCTTTGCATCTTCAGGTTAAGGATTCGGGTCATGCTCACCCAGTTTTACAATCATAGTTTGCCACAATGAACACTGACAAAATAACACTTACTTTGTTTTTGTTCATTGAAGCCTTCTTACTGGTGTACTTGTTGCCTACAGCAGTGAAAGGAACTTGTGAGCTCAGGAAGAAGAACCAGCGGCTGACATGGGAAAAGGATTTGCCCTGCTTTGGCCATTCCCCATGATCTGTGGATAAAGAGTCACAATCTGTAGTGCTGATTTTAAAATGTTTAGTTACACATATTTCACACTAAAATCAGTCAGAGAAAAAAGCTGTTAAATCCTGGATGTTACTGACCTTTGAGAGCAGCCCAGACAGACAGATCAGCCAGGGTGAGGGCATGCCCAACCAGGAAGGTCCGCAGTGAGAGAGCCTTGTCCAGTTCAGCCAGTGCCACAGTCAAATCTGGCTGATTACACAGACTGCGAGCACTAAACTCCAGCCAGTGGTCAACCTGAAGACATCATGAAGAAAAAATTAAACGAGCATTCAGAACAATTGCAAAACATCACAGATATGCACAAACATACACACCTCAGTCTGCTCCATCATGTTGGATCCATACAGGCCAAGAGCAGGAGCAACCCGAGCCAAGTAGCGACAGATAGAGTTGTCATCGCTGAACTGGACTGAACTGAGAGAAGGAAAATGAGAAGAGACAGTTGAGATAAACGAATGTAAACTCCACATCTCTTATTTTGTACAGCATGTAAATTAAACTCGACCTGCAGCTCGATAATTGTGGCACCTACTCTGAGATGTGAAGCCGCGTGTCTTTGCCTTCCTCCACTGATACCTGCACACTGCTCTTCACATGTTCAGCTGTCAGAAGTGCCCCTGCAAGACAGACAAGACAACACAGTGTTTTTTAGTGTTTTTACTCTCACACTCCAAAGCACAGCTCCAGAAAACAGTCAAATTTGATCAATGCATACCTGCACACTCAAACAGATATGAAATCTGACAACCAGGTGAACTGGTCCAGTGACACAAAGCACGCAAGCTGCAATCTTTCCCGTAACTCTGCACAACACCTACCTTAAGTTCAATCTGCTTCAAAGGCTTTTTGTACTGAATCCATATTCAACTCCAGACCTTTTATCTGCTTATTTCTTTTCATTTGTTTTCAAACTAAACAAACTGAACAATGGCATAAGCTCACATACAGACAAAATTACATTATTAGTTGTGTTACAGGTCTCACAATTTCACAGTAATATTGTAACAGTATGCCACAGTTAATCTAGGAGGCCAATAAAAATTCTTTTTTATTTCTGAGCTCATAACAAGCCTTGGTAAAGAACTCAAATAGATAACCCCCAAAATTCTGTAATCTGCTACACTGAACAAGCCCATGAGACAGAGTTGCTGAACATTTCATACACAGAGGTGACGTTCCTTTGAATAACTGATGTAATCTTTTGATGAGCATGCCAAACATTCATAGAGCTACCGTGAATATTTTCTAAGGATTTTTACCACACTTCACTAGTGACTGCAACATACAATTCCTACTGCCAGTTTGACCGGAGTGATTCAGAAGGCGGACCCTCGCCGTTTCGTAGAATATTGTAAAGTCATGGTTCCCTTGGAAAATGGCTTAGCATTCATAGAAAATCTAAAGCTGTGTGGTGGGTGTCTGCTCATACTGTGGAACACAAGTCCTTAGAAATGATGTAAGTTGTAAAGACCAAAAGAAGAGCAGGGTTTAGAGCTTAATTGTCTGCTGTAGTTGCAGTAAAATATAAATATAATAAATATAAATGACGTCCAAACAAATAGTACCCCCTTTCCTCCAGATTTTAGATAAGGCAACAGAGTCCAACTTCTTGAAATACAAATAAGTGATACTTACTGTGTACTTATCTTTGTCATAGAATAATGAAAGAGCAGACCTCACCTGGCCATGAAAAGTGCTTGCCTGTCCAACTAATTTTGAGCATCTGAAATGGAGGACTATGTATAAAAACAGCAATAAACCCAAACCAGTGCTTTTGTTAAACCTCCTGAACTAAAGCTGAAAGTCTGAACTTCAATCACAATCTTGATTTTTTTCATGTACAGAGGCAAAGCTGTAAAGAAAGTATCTAAATACCTACAGATTTTATTGTAAGGTTTATATAGTCATATATTGGCCTGTCTACAGCTGGTGTATACATGCTCTGTATAAATATGCATGTATGTACAGCTGTAACTGTATGTTTACAGGTGCATTCCGGCATATCACCATTATAAAGGAAAGCTTCTCTCTGAATTTGTTGCGCCCTCGCATACATTCCAAGCACCTGCATTTCTAAAAAACCGAAAGAACACAGTGCAGGACTAATCATCCCCATCCAGTTCTACTACGTTTCAGGAGGCTTGCATCAGCCTGCTGTGCTCAGTAAAAAAATAGCTACACAGGGGCGCTGTTCAGCAATTATGAACGCTATTCATTTCATTAGCTTGCTTTTGGAAATAACTTCACAAAAATAATCCCTATAAATTATTTTCCACAGTTGATTGAACGTGTCAGAGTGGTCTGCCACAATGCATTCAGTTTCAGCAGCTTATAAAAACCGAAAGCTGCCCAGCTGAGCTAACCGGCCGGTCTTTAGCTAATGTCAACGTGTCAACCAACGTGTTTCATTTCCAAGTTCAAAAAGACTTTTTCTGTGTAATGTACTCATGATATGTAGATGTTACAGTGGAAGCAGGTGGATAAGAGTTAGAACCGCTGTTTTGAACAAAAAGAACATTTCGTGAACTGTTCACGTGTTGTGGTTTTGGTTTCAGAAGTGCCTACTGGCTAGCTAGCCTTAGCTAGTATTTGTATGCATCTACAGATCACCAATCTCCATTGATTTATGGATGAAGTCACACTCTTAACTTCATATTTTATTTGAAACAAGAGCTACTACTCATTTCACGATATTTTAACACTTTATATCATCTGCTATTAAATTCGGGTCGTGTACAATGATCAAATATAAGTCGTTTTAATTACAAAATAAAACTCCAACTTATTTTTTTCACATCTTCATGTCTGTCTTAACAAGATTCATCCCAACGACTGATTTTTGATATTATAATTATATATTTTCCAGTTTAGTATGACACACAGGTGTAAGAAAGCTGATGTCACTCGCAACCTTTCATGCACACACACGGCTAATAGCAGAAAGTCACGTTATTTGGGGATCTCAGGGTGTAACTCACCGAGAGGAGGATTGCTTGTGTTGATGGTGAGATTTAACGCCATACTGCAAAATCCGGCTTCCACACAGGTGGTTACGAGACCCAGCTGAAGTTAACTGGCATGTACAAGAGGTCCACAGCACAGAAAACACTACTCCAGACACAGGAGAGAGAACGAGCTGAGTCGTTCTTCTTCGCCTTTCTTTGCGATTTACGGCAGCTGACATCCCTTTGAGTTACACTACTGCCCTCTTCTGGTTGTAATGGTCAATCGTCTGCCATGTGATCTATGCAGTTGTTCAAATCAAATTATTTCACATAAATCCATTTTTACCAACTTAGATTAGTTAAAATCTATGAAGATTTACCAAGAGTCAAAAGTCGCACCTTTACAGTTTGTATCTTATCAACCCTTTTGCGATTCTCTTGGCTTTCATTAATAACTATAAGGTCAAGAAGATAAAGAAAATTGGTATTTTTGCAGGAAATATGACCCATAAAATTATTTTAATGTTATATTGATGTTAATATGTATAATATTTTCTGTTCAATACAATGTTTTTCTTTTTCATCTTTCAGCTCTAGGCCTGTGTAGGGTCTGTCTTTTCTAACATGCCGACTAACGATGTTGTCAAAGAATAATTACAATACTTAAACAGTGCTTCAAGATTGCATTAACTGGCTAATCCTTGATCATTTAGCTTTAACTTTATATCTCACTGAAATATTAGTGTATTTCTGTCGTGTTTTATCTGCACTTAATAGGCATATAATAGGCATAAGTGACTTTTGGATTTCTGGATAGCAGTAACAGTAATTTTGCCACCTCAAACAAAACAGAACCATCTATACACAGTCACAGGTGAGAAACGTATTCAGACAGGTTTTTATTGTTAACTAAGAAAGATTAATGAACCTCATACAAACTTTTCGGTGCCTACAACATGCATTACATGTAACTCTTTTGCATCTGGATCCGGTGTCGTTATAGCGGAACTAAATGACAGAGCGCAAGTTCCCACACGGACTCGCACTGCTTGTGATTCTCCTGCACCGTGGTTTCTCTTTATGGATGTTTTGTGTAAAGTTTGGTAGCGGTGGATTGATAAGAGTCTGTTCTTCCAGCAGAAACAACCCGCGCCACTGCGCATTGATCTGATCCGGTAAAACAAAGAGTGCATTCGTTCAGTACAGCAGTGCCGCTTTCAGCCACAGTCTGCACACCTCTGCACTGTTGATTCATAAATGCCGTCTTGCTTTCTCTGCTGTGTGAATTTATGCACTTATTCATTCTTATGCCAGCCAAATATGTAGTCTGATCGTGGTGTTTTGCACGACTGCATGAGGCCTGCTTTTACCTGTTTTTAATACAACAGTGTGATCACAGGAAATGCGCTCTCTGTACTGTTATTTATTTTTGTTTTGTTTTTTAATTTGTCTTTATTTACAGTACTGTATATCAATTTTGGACCCACCCCTTGTTTTTTTAATCTTCATTATTATTAATATTATTTATATATGTTGCTAGTGAAATGGGAAATAGTTAGAGCGATTAATTGAAACAGCTGGATGTAAATGCAGCGTATAAGGCAACGGTGGAGTTTGTAAAATCTAATGAGCGTGAAAGTCAATATTTTTTATTCTTCTATCTTAATTCTTCAGCACACCCTGAACTCTTTCGGGAAGCGTTCTTGTCTTTTCTTTAAGCAGTCTTCAGAAACAAACACTCAAAGCTCTTCTTTTGATGTTGGCTGCATTTTGTCCTATTTTCTCTCAAATTGATCCCACACTGCTTCAATAATGTTGAGGTCCAGGCTCTAGGAAGGCCAATTAATGTCCTTTATTGTGTGTTTTCATATCCAGGTATACCTTTACTCTAGTATACTGACAGTGTTTAGGATCGTTGTCACGCAGAACAAAAAGAAGCTGATGTCAATCAGATGATTTCCAGATGGCATTGCATGCTGGATCGAAATCTGATGGTATTTTTCTCCATTCATAATTCCATCCGTGTTGACAAGATACCCGACACTACTGAAATGCTGCCTCAAACCACTGCAGAGCCTCCACTGTGTTTTACAGATGGCTGTAGATACTCACTGACTTCTCTACACAGACCTGTTGCCACTGATTTTCATTACAGTTCCTGTGTATTTTTATTTTCTTCCCATTTCCCTTCCTCAAGAATGGCTTCCTGACAGCCACCCTTAGGCTGAGACCATTTATGATGAGGCTTGAGTGAACACAGTGAATAGATGGATCACCCGAGGGTCCAGATACATTTCTCGGGGCCTGTGTCTGGCCTTTTTCTGTTTTTTTTTAAGGGATTTATTTTTAGATAATGTTCGTCTACTGCAAATAGAATTATAGACCTGCTACTTCTTCTTTTATCCTCCCCTTGTCCAGTTTCCTCATTTTTCTTTAAGAACACTCTGCACACTATGCTGAGATTTCCCAGGTTTTTGGGTAATAGTTCTTTGGAATAGTTCTTGTTCATGAAATAATACTATTTCATCCCTGTCAAGCTGCTATCTTTGGCATTTTTTATAGATTAAACTAAAGAAATGGGAGTGAATTCTGTGTTTTTGTGAATAGGTGTCAGTAACAAAGTGCTGAAAGATACAGTTTAATATTTGTTCTACTGCTAAGTTGTTTGTAATTCCTTAAATTATGTGCTCTTGTGTGATTAAGTGACTCATGGATCAGTGGCTTGACCATTCCTCTAAACATGGTCAGGTACAAAGACTGGATGAAGAAGAGTGAAAAAGAAAAACTTTAAAACACCTTTAGAGAGTCTGGAGAAGTATTGCTCAATTTGTAAAAGAATTACAAGGGAGTTTGGCTCCATTGGAAGCAAAATATAAAGAAATGAGGCTCAAGAATTTTGCCCAGTAGTGTAGATAAGGCAAAATAAAGACTTTTGCTCAGTTGCAAACCATTGTCATTGTCAGTAATGATTCCCACTAGATTTCTAAAATTCTTTAAGCTTCACTTGAAATTGTATATTTACTGCCAATTTCATAGATTATATGTTTATAATGGAAGCTCAAAGTGGATGTTTCAGCTATTTGTGTCTCTGTGTGTGACATAGACTTGGCTTCTCTGTTTTTATGATTCAGGCATGTCTCAGGACAGTCAGCACGGCAAGTGGACCATCTCCAGCAGTGATGATGATGACGATGAGGCTCTTCCTCCTTCAGGGACTGCAACATCTGGTTCCCGTCAACCCACTGAGTCCAGTCACAGTTCCTACCGATCTGCTACTCCATCACCACCCGTGGAGGTGAAACCAGAGCCAGCCAAACCACCGGTGTCCTCTCTCGCTGTTGGCTCAGAAGCCAGGCAGTCAGCCGCTAAGAACCAGTTAAACCCAGTGAAGTATGAAACCAGCCCTTCACTGGCTGGAAAACGCAAGAAAGTGGCGTCAGATAGCACGGGCTGGGCTCTCTCTGATAGTGATGAAGATGATGGAGAGGTGAAGGGAAAGAGTTTGAGTGACTTGCCAAAGAAGGCGCCTCCAAACCCCAAAACAAAGAAGCCAAAGGTGGAGAGCGAGCGTCCTCCAAGTCCTCACGGCCGACTTTACTACATCGATGAGCCCGATGACTTCTTTGAATCCCGTCTTCCTCCACTAAATGACACCTACAGGTTTTACCTCAACAAAGTCACAGGACTGGAAAAGAAGTACAACAATGGCGCTCTGCATATCCGGGGTGAGTTTAGAGAGAACAAAGCTTCAGACACTGGTGAAGAGACAGGTTAGAGCTTTCAAGCTAGCAGGGAAAGTTTTTTTTTATTTCATTTTATTACCTTCACCAAAGAGCTTATGTGATTGGTTTGTTTTTCCTCTCTGTTTGTTAGCAGGTTTACTCACAGTTATGGATTTATTTGAAAAAGTTTAGGAGTGGATGCGATAACTTTTTGAACCTTTCTTTACCATGGTGATTTGGTATTATTTTCATATACATATCAAATGGAAATAGGAAAAATTAAAAACCATTGTCTCGTACAACCATTGTACCAATTCACAAAAATGACCATTTTAAAGCGCTTTATCCTTTGTGGTGAAGACCTTAGAGTAATGTAGCGAGAAGTTTAGTTATCCCATTTCAGCAGTCATTTGCAAACATCAGGGAGCTAAAACATCAAAGGAAGCAACATCTGGCAGACCCAAGAGAGCAGCCATCTGCTAAGTGACAAATTCTTTGTCAAAGGCACAACGAACAATGCGACGAGCAAAGAAAAACAACAAAAAAGGGAAACTGGCAGTTATATTTGCCATTTGCGGCTCAGCTCTTGAAATCTTGGTTTTAGTTTCACTTCCCCTGTTTTTGTGATTTCCCCTTGGACATGTCTCTGCTGCAAACTCCTCAGGCTTAATGGTTTTGCTTTAACTTATAATCCAAACTTTTTTCCCTTTTATCTAGACATTCTTTCCCCATTATTTGGCACCTTGAAAGAATCGGTTCAGGTGAGTAAAAATAATTATGCCGCCTTTTTCTTTCCACAGATGTTTTTATTTTAAACAACAGTGATAAAACAAACAATGAAAAAAGCAACAACCATCTATCCCTGATAGTTCACACATGGCAATCCACTTTCTCAAAAGAAAAAGTCCACTCAGAAAAAAGGGCAGCAAATCAAAAAAAATGCATGTCTGCTTGACTTCCTGTTAAATTCACATCTCCTACAAAACTCCAAAAAAGCCCCAAAAACATTTTTTTAAAAATGTTTACCTTTTTTTACATATGTTATTCTTTCTAGTGAAAGGTTGGAAATCATTTCTCTCATCCACTGTGTTCAGAACAAAACAACGATTACTGGGCTTTACCCCTGTGTATTTTCCAAATCACTTTTCCTTGACCTCAGTAGAAAATGAAGTCCAGGGAAGATGTGTGGAGGAGAATTCATAAGGAGTTGGGGGGAAAAACAACTGTGGTGATCAGACAATCCAACTGCGGTTACAAAAACCTGCTTAATAATATGACAGTAGGTGTTGTGGAAGAAACAGGCTATAAAGTGAAATGAAATGTTTGCCACGTTGAGATTATTTGCTCATCATGTCCACTCATGTTTTCACATCCCAGTGGAATGATTCCAGTGTAGCTCCTGTTTTTATTAAAGCTTCCTGTGACTGAAGTCTGAAGTCAAAATACTGCACTGCCTTAGCTGAGGGCAGAACTAATGCACTTTAAATATAATAGAAAATATCTCATTATTATATATAAAAATCTACGCTCTTGACGCAAGATCATAACTTCTTGAGAAGCAGATTTTATTACAGCAGCTTAATGTTCATAGCTCACCTGTGGGTTTAACAGACTGCCGTTAAAGGCTTAAAATATATCAGCAGTTTATGAACAAAACTGAAAACACACTATTAATTTCTATCTAGGTCACCAACATAACTTATCAGTCACGCTGGTGACTGATGGTAAATTGTGAAATGACCTTATTATCCTCTATCCTCAATCCTTTCATAAGCGATGGTCCAGTATGTTCTTTGCCTAAGGAGCTGATAAAGGAGGTGTTGACACACATTTCTTAAGCTCTTAGAAAATGCAACTGGCTCTTAATGCCTTCAGATGTATAACTCAGTTAGGATCCTTCCTAAACAAACCCGATTAGCCAACCACAGCCCTGGTCTCCATACTCCATACTCCATACTCCATACATATGCAGTAATATGCGGAAATATGTGGTAAACAGCAGCTGTTGGATGGGTTACAATGAAACATGTGACAGATCCCTAAGGATGAATTTGATGACTTTACTTTTCATGTGTCAGGTGAAAAACTTGGGACATTGCAAAGAAGTAAAAGTATGGCTATAAACTCCACTCTCTTTCTTTATAGTTTAACTATTGCTTTGATATTGCCTGGATGGTGAAGCAGTACCCATCAGAGTTTAGGTAAGTTCTGCTTCTTCTTTCCTGTCACTGTAGTATAACTCCCAGATCTCAGGTCTGATGATATTCATATAAAAAAAACGTTATTAAATTAAAAATTACAGTAAAATGAGAGAAATGAGTCAGACCATTGAGCGGTGAAAAGTACACTGTGGTGGAGGAAGGTAATGGTGCAGGGAAAGCTAAACTCTGTGTTTATGTTTTCAGGGATCGCCCAGTTCTGATCGTACATGGTGATAAGAGGGAGGCCAAAGCTCGACTCATCCAGCAGGCTCAGCCCTTTCCACATGTGCGCTTCTGCCAGGTACAGGCTGGCCCACACAGGAAACAGCTGTTTATCAAAGGGAAATGGTTGATATTATTTCCACTTTGGATTGCCGTTTAGGTTGAGCTAATGTTTTTATTTGTAATCATTTTTTAATTTTTGCAGGCCAAGCTGGACATTGCTTTTGGAACTCACCATACGTAAGCATTGTTGATGTCTAAAAGGGGTGCTGAGAGCAATCTAAAGCCTTAGGCTTTGGTTCACATATCAACTCCATTTTAGACTGTTTTTTTCCAATGTCTATGACATTGTACAGATCCAGGTTGTAAGCACAGAAGCCCAACACACCTGCTGTGCTTTTGTTTGTGAGAAAAATCAATAAGAAGAAAGTTGTTTTAAAGAGGAAAGAGCTAAAACTGTTTGTTTCATACACAAAACGAATGTGAGTCATGCAAAGCTACCCTGGTCATGCAAAGCTACCCTAGAAGAATAAAAAAAAAAATAAGCATAAAAATACAGATGTAAATGAGCATAAAAAGTCAATCTAAATTTATTGACTACAAACTAGCACGACTGTTATGTAACCATATCAGGCTTTGCATCATTGTTGTCATTTTGGCTGTTTTCTTGTCAGAAATTGTATTAAATTCTATTCTATGTGGCATTAAAAGCTCTTCGATAAACACTATAGTAAAGATGGTGTGAGATATGATGATGTGAAAGACCGATAAAGTCATAGAGGAAAAAAATGCTTTAAGTCATTGCTACTGGAAGTGGTTTTACAAGCTACTTAATCAGGGCGTGACTTTTCACAAGACTGCAAACAGTCCATTGAAAATATGTTTACGTTTATATGATCCACATTGCAGATATTATAGGCCTTTTAGCTTGCTCTTTGTTGTATTGTATTGCTGTGTGTCATCAGGAAAATGATGTTGCTGTGGTATGAGGAAGGCTTCAGAGTCATCATTTTGACTTCTAATCTCATCAGAGCTGACTGGTACCAGAAAACACAAGGGTACGTCTATTCTTTATTTATTGTTGTGGTTGCAGTTTGTTTGTCTGTTATCAAGGGCATGGGAAGTCTAACAAGCCAAATTTGATGCCGCTTGGTAGCAATGTGGTTTATCACCAGAGAAAAAGAGCCCTTCTAGTTCAAGAAGGGTTTGGAGTCTGCAAGTTAGACTACTAGCCCTACTTCTTATGAGCCACTTTAAAGTATAGAGACTCATAAATAATAATCATATTGTGATTAAATGTTTCGCTTGGTTGTGAAAATGTCCTCAAATCAGTTTTTCCCAACCTAGGATGTGGATGAGCCCTCTGTTCCCTCGGTTACCAAAGGAAAGCAGTGCAAGCGCTGGTGAGTCGCCCACCTTCTTTAAGAGGGACCTGCTGGAGTATCTGGCATCGTATCGCGCTCCAGAACTTGAAGAGTGGATCCAGAGAATCAAAGAGCATGACCTGTCAGAGACCAGGTATACACAAGATGCTCTTCTGTATTTCGTGGTTGTAACAAGTGGCTATTTGAGTTACTGATGCCTTTTTACCAACTCAAAGTGGTCTGGGGTCTTTCTGCTCTGACCTCTAGCACCAACAAGGCTTTTTTTTTCTTTTTTCTTTTTTTTAAACTGCCAGTCACTGGATATTTTTTTTCATTTTTGGATCATTCTCTATAAAGCTGAAAGATATGGCTGTGAGGGAAAATCCCAGTAGAGCAGCAGTTTGTGAAATAAATGAAATGAAGTGGCTTAGAGTATAAGTCTAACTTTTATTATATAAGTAGTTTAAGTTTTGGTTTCTGTAACGAAGAAGCTTCCCAGCTCTGATGATGTATCCAATCTTATCTTATATTCTATTATCTTATTTTTTGAGATGCAAAGAGACAGAACAATATAATCAGTGCAATAATGCCCAGATTACAGTTTGTTCTACCTTTGTCTTCTGTTATCAGGGTATATTTAGTTGGCTCAACCCCAGGAAGATATGTAGGTTCAGATATGGAGCGCTGGGGCCACCTGAGGCTGAGGAAGGTAACGATTTCCCTTCAACTTTACTGTGTGGCTATATCACCACTGAGGTGTTGCTCTTAAAAAGTTGGGTTATAATGTTTATAGAATAGATAATTTTCTGCAAAATGCAAGTGATTAGAAGGAAAATGGCTAAAATATGCAAAACATATGACTGGATTTTCCCTTCTTCTGTTTTTTTGTTTGTTTGTTTTTAAGCTGTTGTACGAGCATACAAATCCTATTCCTGGCGAGGAAAGGTGGCCAGTGATTGGCCAGTTTTCCAGCATCGGCTCTATGGGATTGGATAAATCTAAGTGGTTGGCGGGGGAATTTCAGCGCACCCTGACCACACTAGGAAAATCCTCTCTTCGCCCAGACCCTCCTATGCACTTGGTCTGTCCAACTACAGCAAAGATAATGCTGTTTGCTGCATGATCAGATTTAAAAGAACTGTCTGCTGTAGTCACTGAGTTTATTAAGACAGGAAACTTTTTCACTCAGGTTTTCAGACTTTTTTTTTCTTATATATTTGAAAACTTTAGCACTAAATAATCAATCAAGCAGTTGCCCACTTCGTATATAGTCAGGGTTTTGTTGTTCCACTCTTACTTCCGGTCGTTCCTTTTGTTAGAAAACTTTGAGAAGATATTTCTCCAGCTTGCATTATTGAGCCACTTAGCTCATTTTATGACTTTTGTGTTCTTTAGCATTAATAATTACTAGGCAATTGCTATGTTTGACCACAGTTTATTAAAAGTTACAAAGCTCTATATTTCTAAAACAAGTTTTTAATGGGACCTTCTTTTGCAGCTTTATCCATCAGTAGAAAATGTGAGGACAAGTTTAGAGGGATATCCAGGTAAATATTCTTTTTACTCACATTTCAAATACAGTATAACTCATATAAAAACTAAACTTCTTCAGAATACTTTTAATTTTAGTATTTTCAATTTGCGCTTTTAAATATTTCTGTTTTTATTATTGTGAATTTACTTGTAATCTAAACATTTTTGTCCTCCAGCTGGAGGCTCTCTTCCCTACAGTATCCAGACAGCTCAGAAACAACTTTGGCTCCATTCTTACTTTCAGTAAGTTCTACCAAAGCAAAATTCAGTCCTGCTGTTAGGGCGCAGCAGTAATCAGTCACTTCTAGTGTGCAAGTATGCAGTCTCCAACCCTTTTTTTTTTTTTTTTGTTTATTGTCACATCTGTTTTTAACACAGAATCTTTCAGGTTGATCACAAATCAGAACAAATCAGTAAATAAAAGCAAAAAAAACAAACACAGCTCAGAAGAATCAGAGAAGTTCAGGAGCACCAGAAGGAAAGCAAATAGTGCGGCTGATTCCAAATAACTCACTGCACATACGAGTTTAAATAAACAGTTGGGTTGGGCTAATGAATTATCTAAGATTATTAGCTTGTATCTAATTTCAGTGTGCATATGGGACCACAATTTATTATTGTAGCACAAACACAACAGATGGCAACTAAAGTGTTGAAGAACATCGGGGAGAAATTAAAACAGATGAACTGACTGAGGTGCTTAAAAACAGTTTTAATAATGTAACATTACTAAACGCTTTAAACAAATGAGAAACATTCAAACCCAATATTTGATCTGAAGAGGTGGTCAATACTGCACACAAATCATAATCTTGAAGTTGGGGCTAGTCTGAAATTTGGTAGTGGAAAAGTTTTTTAGTTGAGATTTTAATGAGGTGGAAAGCCTGAAGTCTGGAAGTTTCAGAGCTGCTGCTGAGCAGCTGTACTTTAAGAGCAGTGATCAGCTAACACAGCTAAATGACCAGAGTTATAATGGTTTTTCAGGTCTAGCAGAAACACTGGGATTTGCCTATTGAGGCAATTATTGAGATATGAGAAAATGTATTTAGATTAGCCATAATGTAACATTCCCAAAAACAGGAAAAACATTGAACTGATGGCCACATATGGTTTGCTCTGTTATCTTCTGGGTTATATTTGACATCCAGGTGTCCGAGTTATTCCATGCATGAGGTGGGCCGTAACTAGGCCTTGACTTTTGCTTCTTGCGTTCTCTGTATGTTTTGGAACAGCGGTCCCCAACCTTTTTTGTGCCACAAACCAGTTTATGTCCAACAATATTTTCATGGAGGGGCTTTTAAGGTGTCGCGAATAAATACAACAAAATAAAACCAGTTCCTGTACCCAAAAAAGTTTGGTACAGTTTGCACACATCTTTTAAGTGATCCGTGGATTCTTGTGTGTGGTTGTTTTTAGCCGCTGGAAGGCAGAAGCAACGGGGAGGAGTCACGCCATGCCACATATCAAGACATACATGAGGGCATCTCAAGATTACTCTCAGCTTGCCTGGTTCCTTGTCACAAGGTTTGTGTTAGTGTGCGTCTTTGCATCTGTTCTTTTATTTCTCGTATAGCATTTACTGCTAAAACAGGCAGAATTACATTTTCATGCTAGACTAGAAATACGCTTTTCTTGTGGGTTGCAGAATTAAGAGTTGTATGCGTTTATAGTTATCTTTTCCTGTGTTTATATAATTAGTAATACAACGATGTGGTTGATAAAATTAGTTGTTCTGTTTTCTATAATCAGTGATAGCATATTCTTGTGTAATGGTTGCATCTTGTGTTGTATCATTGTATTTGCCATTAGTCTGATCATTTCCTGGTCGCCTGAGCTGTAATAAAAAGTTTCGCTTTGTCTCTTTGGTGGGTTTCAGTGCGAATCTCTCCAAGGCAGCATGGGGTGCGCTAGAGAAGAACAACACTCAGATGATGGTGCGTTCGTATGAGCTGGGAGTCCTCTATCTGCCGTCCGCCTTTGTAAGAGCAACATACAATTTAATTGTGAAGAAAAAAATTTCTATTGCCTTTTATCATTATTATAAAAGACCTGATGTGTAGTAACATGATGGATGTCTCCCTACAGGGCATGAAGACATTCTCTGTTGACAAAAATCCATTTCCGGTCTCTGCGTCCTTCTCGGGTTTCCCAGTGCCGTTCGATCTCCCCCCTACATCCTACACTACTAAAGGTACTGGGTGTTTTCTTGCTTTGGAACTAGACTCCAGGAACTGTAGTTTTCAATACTTCAACGTTGACTTATTTTTTTTTTTTTAGTCCTAGAGGTTTTTGCGTGTTTTCATCCACATTAATAGTTTCTGAAAACACTATCAGTGTGGATCTAGCACCCACCAGTCCTGGCTCTATGTCCTGCATAATGTTCCTTTTTATCTGGTAAATCAAAGTATCAACACTTTGAATTTTACTTCACTCTTTTCCTTCTTTGCTCTCAGATCAGCCTTGGATCTGGAACATTCCTTACAGCCAGGCTCCCGACACACACGGCAACATCTGGGTTCCCTCCTGATCACACGCACACACGTCTCATTTGAAAGTCTGCTGTCTGTACCTGTTAGTTACTGTGTTTAGTTGTTAGTGGTCATTAACATTTTTCTAAATACTTTTATACTGTACCATATACTCATATGATTTCTACCAATAAATAAAATATTGTTAGATTTGTGTATTTGCAATGTCAGTTGTTGTTTTTCAGCATTAGAATAAGATTTAAACATAAGAGGTTGCACTCAAATAGCTTGAGTTATAAATCTTCATATGTAATTCCAATTTAGAATCCCAGGAGAGGTCTGATGTGGTCTTATTTTGGCATAATGGGGGAGGTTCTGTGTAAATTTACTTAATTTAAAGTGACAGCTCTGTATGAAACATCCCTTTTAAGTGAAACCTGTTGCACAGATTCATAAATGTTCAAGATATAAGCTTGTTTGCTTCTTAATATCATAAAGGATAAAGCTTGTATAGGATTTGGGGAGAACATTAATGGCTCATTTTTTTGTTTTTAATCGCCGATCTGCACGCATTCCTATTTTTGGTGGTCGGGATTTACAGCACTTTGTGTTTTTTTTTTTTTACTATCAGGTTAATGATTATATCCGTATATGTACCCCTTGGGGTAAATTAATTACTGATTAAGCAGTTTGAAAGAGCCACAACCACGTTTTCTCTCTTTAACTTGGGTAAGTTCATCTCAGCAAGATGGCTTTTTTTTTTACGTGTTTTAATGTTAGCTCACTACATATTTACACTGGTTAGAATTAAACATATTTACCAGAAACCTCAAATTAGCACCTATACAAATACAGTATGTTTTTTCCCTAGATCTTTAAAAACCCAGGGTGTATTAAAAAGCAACTATTCATTGCTGCCTGAATACCCTTTTTTTCTTAATCTAGCTTCAACAGCTCTTTCCAACATCGTCTCATCATCTTCATCCCACAGTAAATACTACAGCTTTGCACATCTTCTCCAGCATCGGACGCTTCCTCTCCATTCCTGGGGAAGAAGTGTCTTGGGGAGTAAGGCATCTCCTCACTCTCCAAGATTGCGTTAAGTGATCTGGTCAAAGATGTCTGCTCTCTCTTCAAGACATCTCAATACCTCCACAGGTATGTCACCTGGACCAAGTGCCTTTCTACTCTTCATCCTCTTCATATCTGCCCTTCTTTCTAATTCTCTATAATTCCCGATCCTTTGTCCAGGCTTCTCTTTCTCTCTCGATTTCTTCATTCATAAGCTCCTCAGAGTACTCCTTCCATCTTCTCAAGACACGCTCTCCATTTGTTAGTACATTTCCATCTCTTTCTGCTTAGTCTGTAGATCCATGTTCTTTATATTTGTAATAAGTTTCCTAAACGAGTTAATGCGTACGCTACACCTGTAAATTCACACAATGAGCATCTGGTCTGAATTAGGAGTTAAATTAGGATTCGGTGTATGAAAAGTTATTTTACAGCTTAGAAATAATTGCAATTGGGAATGTAAACGTTGGGATGTACTCCCTAGTGTGTAAACAGAACAAGAAGCAAGATTATACTCTCAGCTTCTACTGGGTTTCAAATTTCTTCTTCATTTTGTGTCTGCTTCCTTTAGGGGTCGCCACAGTGGATCAGCTACCTCCACCCTATCCCTAGCATTCTCCTCTGTCACATCAGACTACATCCTTTACTACATCCATGAACCTGCCCTCTAGTCATCCTCTTTTCTTTCTCCTGCTGCCTGGCAGCTCCACCTTCAACATCTCTTATAACCAGTTTATTCACTCTTCCTGCTCTGCGCATGTTCAAGGCATCTCAGCCTTGCCTCTTTAACTTTGTCTCCAAGCCGCTCAACCTGTCAGTCTGACATACTCATTTCTAATTTTGTCCCTCCCAATCACGCCAAGGGAAAACCTTAGCATCTTCAACTCCTGCCACCTCCTGTCTTTTGTTAGTGGTACTGTCTCCAAACCATACATCATAGCAGCTCTCATTACCAACTTGTAAACCTTCCCTTTCACTCTTGCTGTTATTCTTCTGTCACACCCACTCCACCCTGCCTGCACTCTCTTCTTCACCTATCTTGTGGATTATCTGTTGCTTTGTGTTGCTTGGTTTTATGTTTAGAAAGATTAATAAAGTTACTGGTTAAACTACATAACATAGGGGGAAATATAGCATAACTTCTCACCCGTGTGAAGGTGAACAAGAACAAATGTGAGTGCATTTCTTAAATAAGGTGTGAGACATACTGCAATGGGAAGGGAAAGGGGAGGGAGGGAAAGCAAAGAAATGCAGTGTGAGAAAAAAGGAATCTAAAACTACACAAACAGCAATGAAAATTAATAAATTTAGTGAGCGTAAAAAAAAGTAGAACAAATGGGTAAACTGGCTCTGAACCTGTTTAGAAGTATAACCAAAAATATATGTCAGACCAAATTATTAGAAACATCCCACAGCACTGCTTCCAAGCAACAGCTCTCTGCCACTGTACCGAATCATAACTGCAGCCAGGTGTCTCTAATAAACTGGCAACTCTATTTACTGTACGTTCAGTAAACTGCGACTCCCGTCGTTCTTTGCGTCGGTGTGTCAACATGGCGCCTGTCTGCCGGACAAAAGGCGAATCTGTCTGACGGCGGATTGAAGCCCAATTAGAAGCAGAGGAGACATTTTGGGAAAACTGTCAGTGTCTGTGTGTCCCTGCGCCCCGAGGCGATAGATATATGGTAAAACAAACATCCGCGGAGGCTCTTGGACTGGAATAATAAGGTAAGTTAAGTCCTCCAGCTCCAACTACTGCTGTCTTCAAACGGTCCTGCCAGGAGCCCGATGCATTTCCTTTTTTCTGTCTGATAACTGCAAACTCCTTAAAAAATCCCCAGTGCCACCGCAGCGGTGTTTTCCCGCGGCGGTTAAGTTTCACACTATCAAAACTGATATTAGCGGTTTTGTCTGAAAAATAACGACTCGGGCTCTCATTCGGCGGGTGTGTAGTTCTCCAAGAGTCACTTAATAAAAAATAATGTCAACTTTTCCAGTTGCTGTACAATGCTCGCTAATGCGGTGCACTATGTATTCCAGCAGAGCGTCGTAATTACGCTGAATAATGAAAGTCATAATAATTGCCCTATTCTACTGTGCTTACTAGGAGTTAGTTTATAAGATGTATGCCGAATTCACGTATTGTTATCCATTATATGTAAAACGTATTAGGACATCTTCTATCGAGAAGTCAGTGTTTTCCTCGAAGCAGGGGGAAAATAAAATCCAGTTTTCTTTAACGCGATTCGGCGTTGAAGTTGACGATCTAAAGACGGACCTCTGCATCGGATTTACCTTAAGATTGGCTGTTACAGTATAACATCTGGTGACAACAGTCGACTAGTTTGTCTTGCGTTTCAGGTTTAGAGTCCAGTTAAAAAGTTTCCTACTGTAATTTAAGGACTTTGTGCATGTGCACAGCTGGCACATGTCTGCTACCAGTTCATGCCACGTCTGGATAGGACTTTAAGTAGGTCACTGGGTTCAGGAATGGTAATAGCTTTCCTAATGTCTTTGACTTTATTAGCTCTACTTGAAGAAAGAAAAGTCATAGCCCACAGTGTGAAGTTTTGTTTTTGTTTTTTTTTCAGGGAGACAGCTGGATTTATTTATTTATTTTTGACTGATTATTAGTTAAAAAGATCTGTAGAGTAAAACTTTAATGCCCCAAAGAGACAGGTATCCTACAGTCTCAAGAGGGAAACGTTCAAAAAAAATTTTAAGAAATAGCAGATGGAATCAGTAAGAATATGAATTCATTCTCTGAAGCTAAGTTTGGAGAGAGAGCAAACCTTCACCTTGGAGGTAGCATTTGCAACTCAAAGGATGCTAAGGGTTCAAAATGGTCCGTAACATTTGTTCCAGATGCTGAAGGTCACTAAGGGTGACACCAGCAATCTTGGAGCACACCTTGACAGATTTGCCACGCTTGCTTCTGTTTTTAACACAAGGAGAGTCGCAAATTATAGATGATGAAAACGAGGAACTTCCTTAAAAAGAGCAACCGTTGATTTCCTTTTTTTGTTTTTTTACATACAGCATGAATCAATCATATTAGGCACTGTTCTTGTCTGCACCTCAAAAAGGAAGTGTGTGCATATGTGTGTTTTCATGTACTCCATACAGTGCTTAGCAGGCATGAGCCAGTGCCAAGTACTATTCAATTATTGGTAAATCTGTCTGTGCTTGCACACATATCCTGTTATTTATCTGCTGGTTTTGTGACAAAGACTATCAAAGCTACACACATCCATTTAAAAGCTAGACAGAGGGATATTATTTTACTGACATTGTGGCATCTTATGAAGGGCGTTTCTCTGATTTTGTTTAAATGGGGTGGCACAAAAGAAGAACGAGGCAGGAGGGGCCCACAGAAAATCAGAATATTTGATAAAAAGTAAATACAGTGCGGGAACTTGGTGCAGAAAACACTGGGAAAGATTTTTCAGTGTTTCAGTGGGCGTTGTTTTGTATTAAACCGACCCTTTATTTAAGTAGGGTTATGAGTATTATTTAAGTAACACAAAGGTATTAAAGGTTTACCATCAAAATATACCTGCAGAATCGTAGACGCTATATTATCACATTACAATTATTGATTCTTTGATGTGTATATAATTTTAATGTTTTAGCTGGAGATGCTTTTAAATACTTTATATGCCACTGAGTAGCTTTATCGATAATAATACAGCATAATATCACGTAATTTATATTTTTTAAAAGCTCCAGAATATTAAGTAATGCAGCTTTAAAATAAATTGTATGGAGTACAAAATGTGGCAAAGAGCATCATATTGAGTAGAAGCACAAAAAATACTTAAAGTACAAGTACATTAAAATCCACTTCAGTAAAGTGCTAGTGTACATTTACTGGATACATCTGCTATTTCCTTATTTTAACAATGATTACAACTGTTGAAGATTACATTTGGACTGCTTTAACAAGGTACCTTGTCTGTCTGTGCTTTATCTGTGTTATCCTTTTACCAAAGTTAGTGTGGTTGCCAGACGGTGTTAACATTTTAATGGCAAACCTCAGCTGGCTGGATGAAAACCTGATATGGAAGCTACAGTTTCAAATACAGCGAATAAATGTTGGTTTCCTGCCTTAATATGGTTTACTGTTAGTGTTCTCTGCTGAAAGGAAAGGTGGATTTTTGGTGGCATTCACTCATGTCTGCTAGGCATTGTTAATTGACCTCTATCTGATTACTTTCTCATTTGCCTCCTCATCACATGTTGTCACATGTTTAAAATTCTGTCTGTCTGTTCCTGACTTTGCAGAGAAGTAATACAACAAGTAGAAAAAAATCTGTGTTAGCTAAAACTTTTTGTGAGGTTTCTTTTTTTTTTTTTTTTTTTAAACCTCTTAAAGTCTCGCTGGCAACCAGTGATCAGGTTAGGGTTAGATTCAGAGCTGCTCTTTGCATTTTGTAACTTTAATTAGAAAAGAAAAGCTATAGTCAATGCAAGAGTCTTCTATTCTTCCTGAAATTATGCTTCTTTGTTATGTAACTAAAATGCAATGCCAACCCTGGTGCTGCACCTGAGCAGTTCACTGTTGACCCGCTGGATGTTAAGAGAGGTTCAGTTTGAGACTTTAAAGCCAGACTTTGATGAGTTCTTCTAGTTTGCACTTACAGTACATGAAATCTTTGAAAATGCCTTGACTGGATCTTTCTTTGTTTAAAAGTGGAATAAATATAAAAATCTAAAGTCAGTCCTTGGCTTCATTTTTTTGGTAATCTTCCATTGTTAATGTTAATCTTAGGTTACAAACTGAGGTTGAATCTCCAGAATGTGAAGGTTCAGATGTTTTTAGTTAGAAGCTTCTTCAACCTTTTTCTTTTAAAGCTGTTTTAGTCAGCATGTCTTCCTCGGTTGGACCCCACGTCTCCTCCAGTTTCATGTGGATTAGTGATATTACACCTAAAAAGTTTTCACTCTTAAATGCTGGACTTTATCTGTCCTTAATTGTCCTTTCTCACATGGGGCACGTGGCACTATATAGTTGCTCCAGAAGCGTTGTCACTACTGGCAGTCCTGGTTCAGGTGAGGGTGATGCCTGGGTGGAGCGTGTAGGAGGGTGCCCACTCACTCTCTCCAAATTCTCCAGACAATTACTCTTTTTAATTTCTCATACAGGCGCAATGGGATGTCGCAAGGACTTTGCACTAGGGAGCTGGCAAGTTAAAGAGTTTTTAATGCTCAATTTGATTGAGTCGGACATTTACGTTCTCACTTACAGCTCCGCTGAGTAATGAGGAGAACAAGTGCAGCGCTGCAGTGAATGTGTGAAAGACAGTTCCCCTCAAAATAAACATCTATTTTTAGTATGCACAAAGATCAACTGATTTACCAGT